GGGGGGGGGTTCCACAATCGGATTCTAAAGAGGAGAAACAAGAATCCACAGATGGTGTATAAAGTAGTTAAATGAGCCAGAGCTCCGAACCGGAAGAGCTGAACCCCGGTTCTGTCACTCCCCAACTGAGTGAACCTGGGTAAGTAAGCCCTTTAACCTCCCAGAACTTGGGTCCCTCATTTGTAGACTGGAGGCAACGCGTGACAGCTGAGGGCACAGAGCTCCTTCAGGAGCTCTAGAAAGTCTAACACGCTGCACACGTGAGGCGCTGGACACGCACAGGCCACGGCAACACTGCTAACTAGCGACTAACGCGGTCGTATGAAGACTGAAGGCGCATACACAGCAATGGACCCACCCAAAACCCTTACAATAAAGTTAAAATTGCTACAGAGCTCAAGCCAGCTTCTAGCCAGAGAAGGTTCCACATAAAATCTAAGTGAGCCACTGTTGTTCTTAGTATTATTAATATATTATTATCCAGTCTTTCCCAGGGAGATCCTGTGACAAAGACTATCCTTGATCCAACTTTAGCCCAGGCCCTTTGAACCCTCTTCCCCACAGGCCTTGACCTTGGCCTTCCATGTCTGTCCGGTCCTTGCCAAGTCTGCTCTTAGCAAATATCTTGCGGGGTTTTGTGAGAAATCGCACCCCTGCTCTCTGAACAAGGTCCCCAATCTTCCACCCCAGATGTCCCCCCTCACTCTGCTCCTTGACTAAAACATCCCCACCCACCCCACTTTTATTTTAAGTTTATTTATTTATTTCTGAGAGAGAGAGAGAGAGAGAGAGAGAGAGAGAGAGAGAGAGAGAGAGGGAGGGAGGGAGGGAGGGAGGGAGGGAGGGAGGGGGAATATCCCAAGCAGGCTCTATACTGTCAGCCCAGAGGCCGACACGGGACTCGAACTCACAATCCCTGTGATCACAACCTGAGCCAAAATCAACAGTCATACACTTAACTGACTGAGCCACCCAGTCACACTGCCCCCTCACCCTTGTATTCAGAGCTGAGTTCGATCTCCCTCCTCTAGTGCAGCAGAGTTGACCCTACTGCCATAGTCTTAAAATACCGTTTTAACAAGTGTCCAAGAAATTTTGTCCTCGAACATCTGAACTGGGCTCACATATTGTCACTACAGGGGCGTCCACATGCTTTAAAAGCCTTAACCGCTAACCATAAAATGCCATCAAAAGCAGGCCAGGTTTTCAGGTACCAACTAAACGCCAGACTGCTTTGGAAAATGTAAGAAGACTTGACTTTAACGAAGGAAAACAACCCACTGTGGTCCTTTTCCACCCCCACCCCCTACCCACTCCCAGCCACTTGCAGCATCTCACAAGCTTCGTTCCGTTTTTCCACGCTTACCATCGCTGCCTGCTCCAAGTCTGGGTTCCGGGGCTGTGCAAGATTCGGGCACCGCCGGGATGTGCTCTGTGGCCGAGGGCTGGTCTTCAGGACTGACAGGGGAGAGCCCGAGTGAACTCACACGGCCTGGAGGACCAAGAGGGCCCATCAGAGGGAGAAGTCGGTGAGACAACCGGGGTTTCCAGAGCGGGGAGGGGATGGGTGCTTACTTACTTTTCATGTCATTTTTTAACACTACAATTCTCTTATGACCATGTCCTTTGATCCAGACCACCTGCACACAAGACATACTAGTGGTTAAGCAGTGGAAAAGGAGAGGAAATAAGTCCTAAATCCAGGCAGAACGTGACCAACTGTGCTGACCCAAAATACCTCACAAGTTAGAAAGTGACGCCAAGGAAAAATTTTCTATGCTTCTTTTAGCTCTTAAAGTGATAGAAGCTGGCAGAAACACGTCCCTTACAAGAAGATGCGTAGTCTAAAAACGGTGAGACTCAGCTTTAAAAATATGCTTTGCGGCTCTTCCAAAGACCATCTCCCAAACGCCAGTTCTGGTCTATTAAAGGAGACAGTTCTCACAGGAGAGCCCTTACTAACTTTTCTAGTAAACATACCCTAAGAGGATTCATGGAGATGAATCAAAGCAAGTCCCCGGTCCTACGTCTAAAACGAAGTCCTCTCTCCACGTCCTTAGCAGAGCAAGAGCGCAGCAGAGGTCCTTCGCTCCCTGCACCGCCCCACACGCACCTGTCACCGAGCCCCCGACCTCAGCCTCACCAGGTCCTCCCTGCCTCCCCCATCCCTCTCGCACAGGTGCGCTTTGGGTGTCACTCCTACCTGGACTCCGGCCACGGCCAGGATCCTCGCCAAGCCCTCTCCTCCCCTCCCACCGGTCCGGGTCGCAGCAGTGACATTGGTGCTTTCCGCACACAAACCTGAGACTCCCCCCTGCCCTCCCCTCCAGGCCTCCCGCTCACCTGAAGGAGGAAGGCCCCCTCAAGTGAGCTCCTGCTTCACTGATGGGCCCCTGCCTACTTGTAAATGCCCTGAACCTTCCACACTGCTGGTCACTACCCTGCATCCGCTTACACAGCCCCTTCTGTCACAGGGTTCACTTCTATGCATCCCCGACATCTCGGCCCTAGAACGAACCCCAAGCCCGGGCATGGGCCCTGCTCGTGGTCCCTCCTCACTGCACCCAAAAATGGCTGCACCGACCGCACTGCCTCATCACCTGTTCAGGTGCCCTGACCTCACTCCATCACCTTATCACCTGGCAGACAGGAACTTAATACGGGCTCGCAGAATGAAGGAGAAATGCTGAAGTCATTCATTTTATGCCAATGGTATGTTTTTCAAAATGCCCACCACGTCATCGACCCGGCAGCATTTCCACCTCCTGTGCAGGAGACGGGCCTGGGGCTGTCCCGGAAGACGCTCTCCAAGAAACTCGGCAGACACGCACCTGAGGGATTGCTCCCAAGAGCTCCTCCACACTACTGTAGCCGTAGGTCTTGGGTTGCAGTGTTTCTCCGACATACTTGGTATAGGCCATGGAAAACTCATGGAGAAAAAGCTGCTGGTAGTGGTAAGTATGGAGTAGAGACCGCACGTTCTTGGCAAACAAATACAGGCTTGTGAGCTTCACACACTCCTCTGTCTTGTCATTAGTAAAAACCTGACTCAAGAGAAAAAGACGCATTAGAAACTCCCAGAGTATTGGCCTTGCCCCCAAGGGGTCCGGGCCTCCAGGTGAGAATGAAAAGGCACCAAGTCAACTTGAAAAGGGACAACAAGCCAGGGAGGAGGAGGAGGGGTTCATCCAAGGATCTCCTCAGAGAGAAAGCAGCGCCTTGAGCAAACCTTGGTTCTATCTGTGCCTCTAAGCCAGCAGAGGTCTGAGGGAACTGTGTGTCAGAAAGGAAGGACACTAGCCAACCTGGGGGTCTCAAACAAGGAGGCAGTGAGGAGGGAAGAGAGCTGCATCAGACAGCAGGGACTGAGCCCAGGGAACTCGCACTCCCAAAGTGGCCTTCCAAGGAACACTGTGCTGCAGGATGACGCCAGTGGTATTCTTGCGGGGCATTAAGGAAAGAAACCCCAAAGCTCTTCTGTCCTCAAGTAAACAAATTCCTTTACCAGAAACCTTTCCAGAGTCTTAATGTACACTGAAAATCTCTAAGGGAAGGGGTATTTCCCAACCCTTACTGGCCACAGAAAGCCTTTTGTATTGGATCATCTATTTACGCCTCCTAGAACCAGTGTTCATGTAACAGAGAACTGAGAGACTCTAGAAAATGTTGGATTTGGTACTGGGGAACAAACCAGAACTGCACAGTAGTTAAAGTAGGAAAAATACCTTTTATTTAAGAACTACCACAACAAAGGAAAAGAAAGAACACCAGTATAGAATTGGGCTCGATTCTGAATACAAGAGAGAAAAGTGGGGATTTATAGGCAAGGAGGAAGGGGGTGTTGGTGGATGGAAAATTACTAAGACATCCAGGGTCACTGTCTAGTCTATAAGGCGGCTCCCAGGAGGCTGGCCTAAGTTTGGCCAAGGAGAGACTTTTTGTCAGTATCTTTTAATTATTTACTTATCAATCACATGGTTATTTGGTAACAATGGTATACCACTCTCTTCCTATGTTGCTGGATTTTACTGGTTAATATCCTATTTAGAACCATTGTTTTTTGGGGGACTCTTAGGTTTTGGTATTAAAGTTTCTTCGGCTTCATAAAATGAAGTGGTGAGTTATGTGCTTTCAACACGGCCTAGAATGGTTTTTAGGAAGTTGGAGTTATGCTTTAGAAGTCAGTTAAAAATCCAGCTGTGAACCTATCTGGTCCTGGCGTAAATTTCAACGATCTTATAGCCCCTTTGGTGGTAACTGGTCGAATTTTTAACATCTAGGGTCAATTTTGATAATTTTGTGGGGTGGAGGGGGCTTTATCTATTTCTGTAGTATTGTCTTATGATTTTTCTGACCTTAAGTGCTATTCTTAAAAGGCAACCTGGGTGACCAGCCTTCCTTTCTGACCTGTGCCTGACTGATGAGTCGCCCGGAGCCCCCACAAAATCCATCTAATTCAGACATACCTAACAGTAGCAAACTGCAGCCAGTATATAACAAAGCACCCCAGCCTGAGACTCAGGAGGCCCAGGCTTCCCTCTTAGCTTGCTACTCGTTTGGGCAAGGTGCCCACACCCCTGCTACGCCTCGGTTTGTTCAACGACGAAATGACCGACTGGTCCCTTCCAGCTCTACATCCTCTAAGCCAGACCATCAAGTGATCCAGAAACATATGGTTCAGCGGTTCTCATAAGACGGCTCCACAGAACTGTCAATATTCATACCTCCACTACGTAGGGCAGACTCTTCAGAAGTTCGGTCAAGGTCATGAATCCATATTCACAGGGGTTGAGGGGAGCACTGTGGGTAGTTTCATAACGCCTCTTGAGCTCATCGACAGACAGGTGGGTGGCTCCTTCCCAAGACATCAGCAACACCAGCAGCTGGGCAGTGAGAGCACGCAGGGACTTGCGGTTGATCAGCTGAATCTGTTTGCCTGACGCCATGTCAGCAACCTGGGAGGACAAGAGCCCACGTGTTTTCCCAGCTAGAGACAGGGGTGCCATGCCACACGCACTCAGCTACTGTCCTTGGGCTAGTGAGACCAACGGAGGGAGATTTTCTAACTTCTTCTTTTCCAGCTGCTATGGGACTCCAGACCACCATCTCAGGGGACACTGGGGCAGGAGCTGTTCTCTCCCTTTCTGCTGGTCCACAATCAGAAACTTCCATCAACACCAGCCCTCTTTGAGGGCACTCCTTCCACTCCCCAAGCCCCTGAGCTGAAGGATGCTGCGCTCAGGGAGGAGGCAAGGGAGGGCTTTGGACTGTGTCCCAGGAGCTAGACTGGGGCAGGGATGGAAGGCCCACTTTAAGGACACCCGCATTTTCTTCTAGTCCGTCATCACTAGCCAGTAAGTGGGTACTTTCCTGACTACATGTCTACCCCTCGATTCTTTCTGGTTCTCAAGGAGATAACGGGTCTGAGTGATGAAGCACGCTGGAAGGGGAAGCTCCTGAAAAAGACAGAGGTTATCATTGAGGGACCAAAGAGCACGTGAAGAAACAGATGTTTGGTAACTGAGACCCCAGGCAAGTGCACCGTGGAGGTGTTGGCACGCAAGCCAAGGTTTACTGTTACGTGTTTTCCCCTCTGGTTTTCCAGCCAACACCACAGGTCTCAGTGCCTCGGCGTGGGCTGGGTCACCACAGGCTTGTGTGCTTTGGGCTCTCACAGGCAGAGCAGCACCTGAGGAACTGTCGCCATCCCACTGTGACCCTGGTTCGGACGCTCACCCAGAGCCCAGGCAGGAGGACGGAGGGCAGACCCCCACACCAGTTACCATGGTGACAGATTTCCCCTATCAACAGAGTCAGGTCTAGGGGAGTCTGAGTCATCTTGTTCAAAGCCTAGACCACTGCTACTATTGTAGCCTTTCAAGGAGTAAAAATAAAAACCTGTTCTTTCGAGGCTAGATACATCTCTTGATTCTGAACCCATGCTACGCAACGAATCCTCTAGGGAGCTTATAAAAGATGCCAATGCTCAGAGCACACTGGGCCTAATTGCATCAGAATCTCGGGGGGGCGGGGCAGGGTGGAGGGGTCCGCTTCTCAGCATTCCCCAGAAGCTTCCCGGAGATGCAGCAGCAGCCAGGGCAGCGCCCCGGAGCCTCTCCAATCCTCCCCCATCTTGACTGCTTGCGCCCAAACTCCCCACTCACTCGCCCTTGCTTATCAGAGTCTCTGGTCATGGCTGAGTCCTGCTACCCACTGAAGCACTCCACTGCCTTTATGCTGGGTGACTGAGTATCCAGGGGGCCCCTCCCATCCTGTGGCCTTTCAGTTCCTCAACTTCCTCATCTCCGGGGATATCCCCTTCCACTGACTTCCACCGTGGACACCCATTCCCAGGTCGCACGTGGGATCTCGCCATCTACCGCCCGCTGCCGAGGTAGCTCACGCAAACCTCCCGTGCACCCTGTGCACCAAAGGAGGCCTGCGGCAGATGCTGGGGTGGGAGACGGAAAAGAGATTCGAATGATCGGCTCTTCCTCCCCTTCTCCAGCTTCACCTGCACGGACTCGCACCTCCTCCCAATTAAAACCCTCTGCCTTCTTCACTTTCCTCTCGTGTCCACCTTGGCGCTGATAGGCCATGAATTCATTACCACTCTTGTCATGCTCTGTAAACAACTTTGTCCCTTTGGTGCCTTTTCTTTGCACCATCTGGCAAACTCCCACCTCGAGCCCGACGGTCTGCTTTCCGAGCCGGCAGCAAACCCAGGGTAGCGCTGTGGGCACCGCCTCCCTCCTGCGGGGCTCGCCTACTCCCCGTGCCCCTGCCTCCTGTCCTGGCGGGCCCCCCACACCGCACCGTGCCGTGAGGGGCCTCAATCTCGAATCCTGTGCCTTTCATCCTCTATGCAGTTGCTCTCACCTTCACTTCACAGACAAATAGCTCGTGGTGGGTACCCCCCTCCTCTTTCCAGACAGGAACAGCAAACTTCCCCGTGTCTACATCCGCCCGCTACCCCCCCCTCTGGTCGAAGCACTAATATCAGGGCTGTGTGTGCCCTGCCGTCTGCTGAATGCCGATTCCCACGCCTGCCTCCTCGGAAACCCCACCCCACCACCTCTTGTCTGTGTACTTCTCTTCTCTCCCTCGAGCACATCCTTCCTGGTGGCTCTCAACCATGCTCGGGTCTCTCCACCTGGGAGCAAAGCAGCCACAGAAAGCTCATGGGCTCCCTCGGTCCCGTGGCCCTGCGGCCACTGTGCACTCCCGCTGCTCCTTCACAAGGAGACAAGCCGAAAGGCTGTACTACCTGTGACCGTTTTCTTGCCTCCTAGTCCTCCTCATGCCTCGACCTGCTCAGCGTGCCTCTGGTCCCCACTCACTGGTGGCGACCCCGCCCGGCCAGCAACACCAAGTTCCTCCATGTAGCCAGGCCCGAAGGTCACATTAGTCCCTGCCTCACTCGTCCCAGCAGGTGACAGTGCTGGCCGTTTCCCCTCCTTGGATTGGGAGTGCCACACTCCTAGCGTCCTCCCTACTCTGGGTCCTGTGAAGGTTCTCCCCTCGACTGGACAGGACGTGAATGCATCCCTTCCGTGTCTGTAACCAGGGCTGCCCCCCTTGGTGGCACTTCCACCCTGCCTCCTCTTAGTGAGTTTTCTTGGCCCCAGGCTGGAGGCAGCCTGAAACCACCCAGCTGCTCAGTCTAGGACAGGGAGGGTCAGTTCAGTCCAGGGCAGGAAGGAAGAGGAAGTTACCCTCTCCAATCCCGTGTTACCAGCAACAAGGGCTGTTGTGAGCCTAGCCTGCTCCTAAATCTACTCGAGTGAGTCAGAATCTGTGGGGAAAGAGATCTGGGATTACAGCCTCCCCAAAACTTCAGAAACGATGATCCATTTAGAAGAATATACCTGAGGAAAAAAACATCCTCGGATAAAAGACACCTCATCAGTTCAGAGTCATTCCTTTGACAAGGCCCTGAACAAACACACAGAAGCAAGACCAAAAATCTTAGCTGCCAAACCAGAGCCCCTATTAGGGTAATCTCCTATCACCTAATAAGGTATTAACAGCAAACAAAGCACTTACTATGAAACAGAAACTACTGCAAGGTGTGAACTAAGAAACGCGAAAGCACAGGAAAACACCCCAGCGAAGATGACGCCACATTGCCGTGAAAATAAAAATCTGCTAACCTTTACAACATGGCAGAGCTTCTGTGTTAAAGCTGAAACTGAACTGACATCGTAGTCTTGGAGACGAAACGTGTAACCAAAAGTTTTAGCGTATTCCGTAAGCAGATCTGTCATCATAAGGCAGTTATCTTTTTGGGACCGAAGGAGTTTGACAAACTGGGCAGCAAGAGCTTTGAATCGTTCTACCTCTGTCAAAGTGAGGATTTTTTCTTCTCCACATTCCAATACCTTGGAAAACACACAGCAGGAAGAAGGCGAGATTGAACAAGTTATGATTGTTCATAGAATTAAGTGGCATGGAAATGTATTCGGTTAGTAACGGAAAAGCACTTTGGTGTTCTTTAATGGATATAGAGCTTCAGTTCTGCAAGATGAAAAAGTTCTGGAAATTGGTTGCACAGCATGTGATACATTTACCACCACTTAACTGCACACTTAAAAAGGGTTAACAAAGTAATGTGTATTTGACCACACACAAGAGGAATTTTAAAAAAATTTTTTTTTATGTTTATTTATTTTTGAGAGCAAGAGAGACAGAGCATGAGCAGGGGAGGGGTAGGCAGAGAGGGAGAACAGAAACCAGTGCAGTCTCCAGGCTCTAGGCTGTCAGCACAGAACCTGATGTAGGCCTCAAACTCAGACTGTGAGATCAGGACCTGAGCTGAAGTCAGACGCTTAACCGAATGAGCCACCCAGGCGCCCCAAGAAGAATTTTAAAAGCACTTTAGGTGCCTGGGTGGCTCAGTCCGTTAAGCGTCTGACTTCAGCTCAGGTCATAATCTCCTGGTTTGTGAGTTTGAGCCCTGCATCGGGCTCTACGCTGACAGCTCAGAGCCTGGAGCCTGCTTCAGATTCTGTCCCTTCCTCTCTCTCTGCCCTTCCCCTGCTTGCACTCCGGTATCGCTCTCTCTCAAAGATAAATAAATAAATTTAAAAAAACACAAATGCTAATGAAATTAACAACAAAAATCTGGTTTAACTTAGCAATGGCTTAACAGCTAAGCATTCATATCGCCTCGCGTACTCGTCCCCAGCACCAACCTAAGAGATTTGAAAAATATGGCACTAATGGAAAAACATTCCATTTAAGAAAACAAACTATTAAAAAGAATCAAACTATTTCATCTTTTGACAATAATTACTCTAAAATAAATTTGAAGATGGTTTCTTTCTTCATGGAAGGGGAAAAAAAAACCCCACACTTACCTTGAAATACTAATGAGCCAAAAACATAGCTTCTCTGATCAAAATATTTCCAGTTTTCCTATTTCCTAACTACTTACTTCCCAGGAAAAGAGGCCTGAGAGAAAAAAAAAAAAATTCTCCCATATATTGTTTAGAAAAATATCACTGGAATCTCTACTCACTTGTAAAATATCAGGTATGGCTTCAAAAAGTTCAAGTAGTTTAGTAAACCCATAGTATGCAAGTTTACACTGCCGGCCAAAGTGGTGATGGTAGGAGGGGATAAATTTGTTAAAGGGCATCCGGAAATGGGGTTGGTGCCGCAGCAAATCAACAACATCCTTGGAGAACTGCTTTGTCCTTTCTATTTCATCCTGGGTACGCTCTTTAAAAAAA